ACCGTCCAGCCTGCGTAAACTATTCGCCACACATTTATGCTTCTCAGATGTTCCGAACCCACGTGCGCTATGGGAGGAGTACAAGTCACATTTGTGTGAAGATTTCATCAGGTTTCAACCATGTGCACTTGCTGAACAGTCTGCTTTAATAGTTTTGCGTGATCTCTTAGCTGAAATGGGAAAGGACATGCATTCTTTTAACTTGGTGGAAGACGACTTGTGTGCACCTATCAGTGATGGTTTAACACGGGAGGTATTGGCGGAACTTAATGTGCCTGTGAGTGATGCAGACCTTAATGGCATCTCATCATTGAATACTCACCAGCGAGTGGCTTTTGACTCCATCATGACAGCTGTGTATGCTTGCAAGGGAGGTGTGTTCTTCGTTGATGGACCTGGAGGAACAGGGAAAAGTTTCTTATACAAATGCTTGCTCGCTGCAACACGTACGAACAAATGGATTGCACTAGCGACTGCAAGCTCAGGAATTGCCGCATCTATTCTTCCTGGAGGTCGTACTGCACATTCCCGCTTTAAACTACCGTTTGACGGAGAATCAAAGTACATTTGCAATATTGGAAAACAATCTTCTGAAGCACGCTTGCTTAGAGAAGCACGACTTATTTTATGGGATGAAGCATCCATGGCAAACCGCATGATTGTTGAAAGCTTGGACACCACACTGAGGGACATACTAGATACTAACACTATTTTTGGAGGGAGGGTTATGGTGTTTGGCGGTGATTTCAGGCAAACTTTGCCAGTTGTGCGTTCCGGTACGAAGCATGACTTCATTGATGCTTGCTTGCTTAGATCAATGATAATCTGGCCGCACGTGCAGCGGCTACATCTTGTTGAAAATATGCGCGCCCATGAAGACCCAGGTTTTTGTGACTATTTATTACGCGTTGGCAATGGAACTGAACCGTACACCTCACCAGGCAGAATCAAAATCCCTTCCACCTTTCTGCTTCCCTGGATCAATGAAACTGTTTCATTGGATTTACTCTTTGCAGCTGTGTACCCGGATTTGTCCTTGTTCGAAAATGACCCTTACTCTCTAATGTCACGTGCCGTATTGACAACAAAAAATGACATTGTAGATTTTATCAACTCATCTTTAATGAACAAGTTCCCGGGAGAAGCCCACACATTCCTGAGCCACGATGTACCTAATGACTCGAAAAACGCGCACTGCGAGGATTATTTACATACTTTATCCCCCGCTGGCTTGCCCCCCCATAAACTGACTCTCAAGCGCAATTGTCCAATAATGTTGCTTCGCAATCTAAATCCGTGTGCAGGCCTATGCAATGGAACCCGATTAGTCTGTGATTCATTTGGGGATCACATTTTAAGCTGCTATATTGCTACGGGCGACCACAAAGGCAAACACGTTTTCATTCCAAAAATTCCCCTTGAAGTTTCTAAGGATGAAAACTGCCCAATGTTGTTTAAACGCATTCAATTCCCTGTGAAGGCTTGCTTTGCAATGACAATCAACAAATCACAAGGCCAAACACTTGACTACGTTGGCATCTATTTAAAAGAACCTGTTTTTTCTCATGGCCAGCTCTATGTTGCCCTATCGAGAGCGCGCAATGCAGATTCAATCAAAATTGTCCTTTGTCCCGATGATCCCAGGCCAGCGCTCGCTACTACAACTGCTAACATTGTATTTGAAGAAATATTGCCCTTTATTAACTAGGTCATGTCAATGAAATTTATATTCGCCTTGCAAGTACTCATTTAAATTTTACTTTTTAACCTAATTTTTTTCCCCTTTCCATTGTTGCAGGTGACCAACACAAATGGAAGCTGAACTGCCAATCCGGTCTGTGAGACCAGATACCAGTCCGTGGACCTGCAAAGTTACTGTAGTGGAGAAACAGAATGTCCGTACTGCAAAGGCGTCGCCCATAAAGTTTATGCCGATGATACTTGTCGATTCTGCTGTATGTTTTGCAATACTTACTCTACTGGGTCCACCTTTTACTATTTCGCTGCTTGTATTATTCACTTGCCAGTATTACTCTTTATAGGGGACCAAGGTTCAAGCGACCGCATTCCAAGGTGACATTGAAGGGATCGATCAACGCCTTACACTGTACTCCACCTACCTTGTCTCTAATGCATATGTCAAATCGATCACCAACCTACGTTTCTGCGTTGATGACCAGTACCCTTACGTTTGGTCGTTCACACGCCGAACTTTGATCCAAGATGTTGTTGTGGAAGAAGGTCAAGACTTCCGTCAGATGGCTGAGGCAGACACCACCCCTTTTACAGACATATATGCTTCTTACATGCGCAATGAACGAATCAGTTAATATGCCTTTACTGTGTATTTGTCATATTATACCTGTTGTGATTTCTTGTGTGCTATCCTCATTCTTTACCACACATGCAGATGTTTTGGATGCAGTGGTGAAAAAACTGCCACGCACCTTTGTCTTCTCCAATGCACTTCAGAAACCTGCGTGGGATGTGGTCCTGCTAGATGAACAGTACAGACTAGCTTTATTTGTTTCGCTTTCACCTATTATCAAATTGCCTATACGCTTAACTCACTAACTTGCTTATCTGAATAGGTGCATCCCAATTACATTCACCATGTGGGAGGAATTCGTCACTCGCCATGGTGGCGAGATTGACCAATGTTTACAAACTGGTGATTTCCCCCTACTTCTGATAAAGAGGGCTGCCATCAATCTTTATCAAGGTAATGTGATCATCTGTTATTCATTCTGAAACACATCCTCACACACCAATACGATTTATGTGCCTTCTGTTCAACTTCTTCCATATAATTTGTTGTGTGGTTGCTAAATTCAACGCATATTTGTATCCACTGCAAGGGTTGCCTGTTCGCCATAACCTATTTTTTACCTTGCTTTGCTGCACTGAATATATTATGTTCAGGGTTGACTCTTTCGACTCGCTTTGACTGCCATGTTGCACTCAACCCTGATGGAGAACGGGCATTGCAATTGAAAAAATGGTACATACCGCTTTTCCCCTCCTATAGGTTATATTCACTGCATAATAGTTTGAGGAGTACATAATTTTTCTATTATGCTTATATGTCATGTAAGGGTTGCTAAAAACACAGTTCAAATAAACGAAGTACTGCTTGCAAAGAAATACGACGATGCCCTGGCGCTGATTGCCAAACCTCTCTCACAGCCGCTCACTGTCATTGAAGATTTGGAAAGCGCCCTCAATGAGGTCAATCTAACAGATTGTCACCCACTCCTTACTTTGAGTTCCTTGTACTATCCTTCTCACTATTGCTTTTCCTTTCCTCCATTCACAGGATCCCATTGTTTGGGTGTCCACCAAATTTCACTTGACAGACACTTCAGAGGAAGGCTTCTACATTGGGTGTGACTACTGCAATCGTAGAGTACATGGGGCAGAAGGAGTGAAATTCCAGTGCCTTTTCTGTGGGCAAAAGAATGGTACTGCTGTTAAAAGGTATGTATCCCCATTGGCGTAAAGCCATGTCATTGGCAACTACTCTTCTGATTTTTTTATCCATACAGGTTCAGGCTCAACGCCTCGCTGGATGACGGGACAAACACCATCCCTGTCACACTCTTCACATGTGATGTGATGCAGCTCTTGAAATGTGTGGGCATGGATCCAACTGATCACATGGATTTGGAAATATTTGATGCGAAACTGCAAAATATCAACTTTATTGCTGGAGTGAAGCGTACTAAAAGCAGCGAAGAAGGGCTGCCAGGCAATCCCTACTCAATTGTGTGTGTATCCTATATTGATGAAACCCCACAGAACTCCTTGAAAGATGACGAAGCATCGCCAGAAACTTCTGCTGCTCACTTAACCTCTTCGAAGAGGAAGTTGAACTTCAACTTTGTTAATCAGTTGCCTGCCACTCTACCTTCCGCATCCGAAGACGCTGCCACTGGCAAGACCAAAGTTCCCGAAGAAACACTCACACCTCTGCGTCCCAAAAAACACAAACCAAACAACGCTTAATGTTTAAGAAACATTTTTTTTGCTGTACAAAGTAGGTGGTCACTACATTCTGGTTGCTGCATTTACTAGACACATTCTGCCAGCTGTCACTCTGCAGTAGCTCGTTACGTGTTCACCCACAATCCCTTTTGCCCAACTACTGGACTATATATTAGCCAGAAACTGATGCTACTACTGCCGCACTACTTACTGTTTGATTAGGCGTGTATTCACGCTTGCATCATCACTTCTATGTTCAGTAGCTTTTGTTTGCATATGATCATGCAGAACATCTTGTAAAGTCTATGAACTTAGTTTTGCTTCCCCATTGTTGGGATTGTATATAAGCCTATGGATATGTTTTGTATTCTTGTGTGTGGATTTGGTACTGCTTTTACAGATTTCTTGTGCAGGAACTGTGTTGATTCATTGATATTGCTCTTGTGGTTTGTTACTTTGGTATCGGGCTGAAGTGGGAGTTACCAAACATATTCAGCCATTGAAGTCATAAAACACCTTCCAAACAGGCTCTTAGATATTAGTTTTCGTATGGGTATTGATTGATAATAATATGCATTTTGACATTTTTAGAGACAATATGATGCAGCAGTCTGTGATACTATTACAAGTGAAGGATCCGTTGGTCAAAAGAATGGGAACATCCAGATTGGCCTGTTTTATATTATGGTACTTTACTCCATTTTTGACCAATTCTTATAGATCAGGTGAGTTTTTTTCAATATTTTTACCTTTGTAAGTTTAGTGTTTTTTTGCAGAGAAATAGTTTCTTAATTTATTAGGTATCAATTATAAATTATTCTTAGGTTCTTGTTATGTTATTTGATACCTTAAAGTAAATACATATGATATATTAGACTTGTGTTTTTTTTCTTCAAATTTCTCAAAATCATTTCATTCGGTGAAACTGGCTCTTTTGTTCATACAACAAGCCTTTAAAATAGGTCTTGAAGTGGTTTCTTTTCTAGAAAAGCTAGACAAGACTGAAAGGAGTTATGCTTCGATAAAGCGTCGTTTGAGAACAAATGAGGAGATCTGGAAAATATTTCCCCTTTCTTGGCGTGTTGATTATTTGCTTTGCATCCAGTTCTGCAAGTTGACAAGGTTCGGTTATATTTATCATTAGATGGTAAAAACTAACTATGATGATCCTCTCTTCACACCTGGTTTTACTTTCACTATCCCGTTTAGATCACAACTTGTTGAGATCCTTGGCAACCTTAAAGAAAAACCTGATGTTTCACCACTGTTGGTGGTAAGTGAAAGGTGTTTTTGTTTTGTTTTCTTTTTTGTTCTTTTAGTGCATGATGATATGTGTTGATTGTGTTCAAATGATATTATTTTCTTCTCATGACATATACATGGAACTTGGTCAGAATGCAATTAGACTTGACTTGACAAAACTGGATGGATTTCTACGATATTCCTAAAGCTATAAAATATTTTCTATGCTAAATATTTTCATGAGCAATTTGGCCATCTTTCCCGGAGTAGGACAGTAGGTGTCGGACGGTCAGACCGCAACAAATTCCAACCTTGTGCTGGTGGCCATTGTGACTATCAGGGGAAAATACTGTTAAAACTAGGCCTTTATATTAGTGAAAATAAATGTAATGTCAAGAATGAATTTGGTGCAAATATTTACCCAGATGACAGATTGTTTAGGCACTCCTTGATGCTACTGTGCACACAAACTTTGATCTTTCCTATCATGGATTTGTGATACTGTTTCACCAGATACTCCCTATGTCTCTAAATAATCTTCATGATGTATTTTCTGATCGTCCCAAAATTATGATGCATTCCTTTTAACGAAAACAATATGCGGTTCACAACTTCACATTACCGGAAATCTCAATAAATTTCAAGCACAATTTTCAATATCTTAATTCCCTTGCCCAGTCTGAGTGGGTGTGTAAATAAGGACGGAGGGAGTTTTAGGCATTTAGTCTGTACTCTGTAATCTGTATCACTACCAAATAGCTCAGTACTGCATATTTCAGTAAATTAGCAGATAATATCTCCTATGGAATTTCATGCGAAATATTTTTCTCTCAAGGCTTTACAACGGACATTGGAATTTGAGGAAGAGTTAGCAGAGAAATTTGGCAGTGGCAGCCGTAGCAAAGAATCATATAATGTCGAGGATATAGATAGCCTTGGACAGAACAGTCAGACAGTTTCGGACATTCGAAAAAATATGAGAAAAGGCTTGCTGCACATCATGAAAGTAAAAACGATGTATGTATAATTTTTAATTTTGATTGCTTTTTTAAGGGGAGAGAAGGGGAAGTTTCCTTTCTAGCATTCTTTCAGCAGTTGATAGTGTTTTACACCGCGAACCACACGAGGAGCCCTGGGAAATTGATGAGGGAAGTCAGACTAATATATTATCCAGTGGCATTCAGGTAATTTCCATATATTATGTATTATGCATATGTAAATGCATCGTTTTTTTATTAAAGGACCAACTTGCATTTGTGTTTGCCAAAATGTCTCTTATTCATGCAAAATGATATTAAAAGAAACAAATGCAATATCATCCTTTCTGGGGTTGCTGCTAATGAAACTTTTACTGGACAGTAGCGCAAAGTAATGGAGTGTTACATATTATGTCCCCTGGAAATAAAACATTATACTATCACAATGAGCATTGAGTAGATTTTTTTACCATTCTAAACTCTACCAGCATCAATAACTAAAAACTACCTACCCTTGAATGTCTTTGATTTCCTGTTATATTATGTCTCCATTTCCCACATCTATGATGAGGTATGTCTTGATATGTAAATCATATAATTGCTCAATGAATCTGATGATGTAATCATGCTGTATTTGTACTAAGTAGGCACACTGACGTAATGAGTCAACAGACTCAACACCAGTACTCAAGTATATATTGGAGTTATATTGCTATACCTGTTAACATTGTACAGCTTCCTACTAACTTATTCTGGGTTTACACTTCTACTTTTAAACGTTTTTGCAATTATCAACAGAAACTTGAAGCGCTGCGGTGCTTTGACAAAAAACGAAACGTTGTTTAATTTGTTCAAGGTGTGGTTTCTTGCCGACCATTTTATTACTTCTTGTTTGCTCTGTACTCTCTAGAATAATCATAAAGTCAAAAGTGTACTTCAGGATTGTATCATTTAACAAGTTTCAAAATTTTAGTTTCTGAAAGGGAACTTAGTTCAGTGAAATTATATGTTCATCTAACTGGTATATCGCGCATGTTAAATTCTTATTAGGTATTTCAAAAAATACTTAAAGCATATGCGACAAAACTGTTTGCTAGGCTGCCTGAGGGTGGTACAGGAATTGTAGTTGCAGCAACAGCCATAGATGCACAAATAAAGGTATTTATTTCTTTAGTCAGTTACAACCATTTTCTTACAACAAAAATTTAACCATCCTGCCATATCTTCTCTACTATAAATGTTCTTTTTTTTGTATCTCAATGCAGGTATGCTGTGAAACCTTCCTTCGGTCATGCAGCGATATGAGGAACCGCGTGCGGATCATCTATGGCGACAATGATGCTTACTTTGCCATTGGAAAAGAATCAATGCGGCGCCGGATTCTGACAAATTTCGAGCTGAAGCGCCATTACACTCTCTTCTTCGTTAGGCATGTCAGGGGTGAGGCACTTCTGCTTATAATTTCTTCATACGGGGTGGAGAAACTGCCAAGGAAACCACATGTGTATAAAATACGGAGCACTGCCCGCACTGAGTTTGCTGAGGTCCCTTAATTTCACTCCAACCAATTACTATGCTATCCCTTGACTATGTTGCTTGCTGATTTTTGCACCTAGCCTTTTCAAGCAGTATTAAACAAACTGTCATGCCCCAGCTACATGCTTTACTGTTATTTTTGTTCACTTTCTGGGACCACCAATCTAACTGCAGTTTAAACACCCAACATTTATGTGTTTATGCCATTGAACTCCTTTTGGCTTGCTTGTTTCTTCTGCGTACCTATTTTACGGAAAGCGATCTTTTGATATTATCAGGCGTTGGGCACCTGCCGTCGCGCAAAGCGCGTGCCCACGCTAGTACTAGATATATGTCTGATATTCGTCATAAGTACTTATATCAGTGAAGACCGATATAGCCAATTTTCTAGGGTGATATAGCCAATTTACCAAAACACGGGAGAATCACGTTGCCCTTACCAAAACACGGGGATATTTCTAGGTTTTACCAAAAAGCGTAAGTCGGAACACCGAGTTCCGACTAGAAGTAGGGTTTCGGGAAAAAAATCTCCCCCCACTAGTCGGATTAGCCAATTCCGACCAGGGTGTTTTTTTATTTTTATTTTTTTCAGTTTTTGATTTTGAGTTGGTTGTAAAAAGGTTTGGCTAAATTCCATACATATTTTTTAAAATGAAAACTTAGCATTTTGTTTTTTAGTAACAAAACAATTGATTGCTTTATATTATTTTTTAATCCATTTGTATTGTGAATTATGTTTTAATTGCATTTTTTGTAATTTTATGTGCAATTTTGATTTAATCCATTCGTCAAATTAGATAAAAATTTGATTTTGTTTTAAGTGTAATTTTTTGTAATTGTAATGGAAGTGAACAAAATAAATGTAGTTTTCAATGTAATTTATTAATAAATAGACAGTACATACAATATTAAATTTAATACTACATCTAACGTTGCGTGCTCGGCCCTGCTCCGTCCCCTCCGCCAGTGTTCCAAGGCCCCGTTGCATCTCCAGAGTAAAACGACGAATGCAGAAATGAGTCAACATAATCATCTGGTTGTGTGGAGAACTGATAAGAATCATAATAGTGCGATGGTTGATCAAATGAGACACCTTGATGCATTGAGAATTGAGGGGGTGGTTGATGAAATGAGACACCCTGTGTTGAGAATTGAGGGGGCGATTGTGAGTGCTCACCCCCACCTTCATGTTCATCTGCATCATCCTCTTCATCACTTCCACCTGCATCTTCATCTTCATAATGGAATATGCCCCGGTGGAGCATATCTTCATCACCTACGTCCAGGGCCATCCGCCGTAGTCGTTTTAGACAGTCCTCATGACTCGCGCGGTTGGCTAGGAGCTGATACATCTCGTGAACGCCTTGCTTCTACATAAAAATGTAACACTTGTAAATAATATGACACGATATATGTTTATGAATATGGTATGTATTCAAAAAACTTACCATAATACCCCAATCATGTGCTGTCGGGGTGTAGCCTGTCGTGGGCACATTGTGAGAAGGGTTCTGGACACGTGTCATACCATGCTTCTTGTACCATTTTCGGTACCTATCAGTTGCTTCTAGGGACATATGTTGATCATAATCAAGAAAGTATATATGATGTTGTATGTCCACCCACATCGCCAAGGCACCGGTTACTATGTTGGAACGATTGCCGTGATGATCAGTAACCGCTAAAGGAGCATCCAGAATATCTTGCCTTATACTGAACTGCCGAAGAAATCGATCGGGGTAATGCATTTCGGCCCTATTGCAAAATATGAGCATGACCCTAGCCGACCAAAGCGGAGCATCATTAAGGATGTGAGGTGGGAGTATCTCGGACGCGTAGGGAGTGAAATCAAACTGTAAAAAGTTTAATTTGCAATTTAAGAACTATAAAAAATGTGAATTGAAAATTGAATAGTACGGTTGAAGTAAAAATTTCAAGTACTACCTGACTCTCACTCATGCGGTCTAGGTTATCCCGGTATAAGCGTATGCAATGTCTTGGGGATCCCTTATATGACTTGGGGACGATCCACCTACATTTATTGATTACCGATATGAAGTTAAAAAATGTAACGTCATATAAAGCACTCAATTATTAAGATGTAATTGTCAACATACCTGCACCCATATGGAAGTTGGTTAGGTTGAATGACCTGAAGTACTGAGGGACGGATCATCGAAATCCTCGACCAAGCCCAAATTTGTAACAAGTGCAAACAACCGCCAATTTGTTTGGTTTCCGACTTGGCGCCGTTGCACAAGTTATGGTAGAGGTACCCGAGAACCGCTGATCCCCAACTCCATCGATGGGCTAAACCCAAGTCACCCTGCAAGACCTCCAAAAAGTACAATCGTATTCTTGCCCCACTCGTGTCAGGAAACAAAAACCCTCCAAGCAATTGCCATATTAGGGTCCTGGTGTGTTCGATGACCTCTTCGTCTGTACTGTCAGGTAGGATCGGGTGACGGGTAATAGCACTTAAGTTGATATCACTCGTGCGCATATCAGTCGCTAGAGGAGTGAAACCACACGACTGAGTGCACAGGTCGATCCACTGAGCCTTACCCGTAATTGTTGGACCACTGAGGGGCATACCCCGAATGGGCAAACCAAGGATCATCGCCACATCTTGTAGGCTAATACCGACCTCACCGAATGGAAGATGGAAAGTATGTGTCTCTGGCCTCCATCTCTCCACCAAAGCGCATAATAAACTATGATCCACCTTCATACGGGCAATGTGCTCTACCCCCAAAAATCCAGCATATGCTAACATATCTATCACTCTTTCATCTCGCTGTTCATATCCGAATGCAGCTGAAGGGCAATTGACGCATTTCAAGCACTAGTCTTTGGAATCTGGTTCATACCATGCACGGTTTGCACGATGGGCATGAAGTGGCAACGTCAATAGTGAACGGTTAACAGGCCCTGGGCGCGGAGTGTTTTGGTCCATTTGAAATTCCTGAAATAAGTAGTTATAAATTACTAATTTCGAAATTGAACTCTAAATCTAAATTGAACACAATTTATTAATTCACAGGTTTTCAACTCAAATTCTAAATGTAACACAACTTTTAAATTTGTAGATTTTTATAGCTAAGTTCAACTCTAATTTCACAATCTAAAATTAAAATCTTAAAAATTAAGAATCTCACAATCTAACTGTCCTAATTAATGAGTATATGATTGGATACAATTATACAAATAAAGAACACAAATTAGTCTAAAATGTAGATAAGTAAATAAAACCGAATGTAGTAAATAAATGTAGATAAATAAAAACAAATGTAGTAAATACTCTAAAATAGTCTACGTAAAATAAATGTAGTAGATAATTGCCAAAATTTACTCTAAAAGTCCAATTTCACATTCTAAATTAACTAACAATTCCAAATTTAACACACTTTCTAAGTTTCAAGTATTTTATAGCTAAATTTCACTCTAAAAGTCCAATTTAACAATCTAAATTAAAAAATCACAAATTACAAAATTAACTACTTGTGCACTCCTAAAACCGAAAATTTAAGGCAAATCCTAAATATAAAACACTTTCTAAGTTTCAAGTATTTTATAGCTAAATTTCACTCTAAAAGTCCAATTTAACAATCTAAATTAAAAATTCACAAATTACTAAATTAAGTACTCCTAAACGATTTTGTTTAAACGCGTTATAAATTGTGAGTTTCTCGAAAATAAAGCAAAATACGTTTATATTTCTCGATTTAAAATAACAATGTACTCCCTCCGTAACATTCATATCTTCCCACTTTCTTTTTTTGGACGTAACATTTATATCTTCCCATTTCTAAATCTTCCCATTATACCCTCAATAATTTAAAAAATAATACACTACTACACCTACTTTTTTTGGATTTATCCTTTATTCCATCATATTATTTCACCATCTTCCCATCATACCCTCAATAATTCATACTCTATTTCACTATTTTTAATCTCACCCACTTTGGAAGTGGGAAGATATATCTGATACGGAGGGAGTAATTTTTAAAATTTAATTTATATATATTTTTTAAAATAAAACAACATATTTCCAAACAACACCCCCTTGGTCGGAAATGGGCAATCCGACTGGGAGATTTTTTTTTACATTTAAATTCGGAAGCACTTAAAAAAGGCATATAAAAATTTCTATAAAAATACCCCAGTCGGATTTCAGAAATCCGACAGCTTTAAAAATCAATTTTTTCAGTCTAGACCAGACCAGACCAGACTTAAACAGACCAGACCAGACCAGACCAGACTTCCGTAGTTATAAAATACACAGAGACCAGACGTTTACCAGACCAGACCAGACCAGTTCAGACCAGACCAGACCAGACCAGACTTAAACAGACCAGACCAGACCAGACCAGACTTAAACAGACCAGACCAGACCAGACCAGCAAATTTCAGTCCAAAAGAAAACATCCTTAATTCCGATAGCATTTAAAATAGGCAAACAAAAATTTCTATAAAAACCCCCGATCGGATTTGGGCAATCCGACTGCATTAAAAATAATGTTTTTTTAATGTTTAAACGCGTTCATAGTACGTATGAAGTGTAAATTCCGACAGCGTTAAAAACAATTATGTCCAGCTGTAGTTTACAGATATGGTTTGGACAGAATAATAAAATTTATGAATTCGACAGATATGATTTGGACCGAATTGGACTGAAACAGATATGAAAGTCACAGATAAAGATAAAGGACATTAATGCATTTGTACAGATATGATTTCGACAGAATAATAAAATTTAAGATATTTAAGATAAACTCATGATATGTAATTGTTGATTATACAACGATCAATTATAGCCAAATTTAACTCTAAAATTCCAATTTAACAATCTAAAGTAAAACATTTACGAATTACTAAATAAACTACTTCTACACTCTTAATATGACAACAAATAAAATCAAATCATTGTAAATTCTACTTAACTTGAACAATACATACCGGGAGATTCGTAGTTCTGAAACGTTTGGCGGTTGTTCCTCCGACCATATATCGATGATGGGCCTTCCTCTCCGGGAGTTCCGTGGAACGTCAAATTTTGTGGCGGGGTCGCTGAAGCTTCCACGTAAATGTGCAACTCCTCATACTCATTTGTAGCAATCCGAAAAAAATGACGCCATGTCCGCTCATTGTGAATGGGCCATAATGTAGAAGCAGCATATACCGAATTCTTATATTTCGGCAATTTTCCGTGAATTAATTTAATTTCGGAAAATCTGTCGCCTCTAACATGATTTAGAACAGCCTCATGTATAGCAGTATAATCATCTCCTTCACTAATGAAAAGTACCGCCCTAGGAGGTATGGAGTACTCTATTTCATCATCTTTTCGAGATGTAGAGCCATTCCAATGAACCATAACAACAATATTACCCTCACTAGACATTTTTATATATGGTATATATTATAAATATAATATGAGAGGAGAGTGCTAAACAAAAAAAATAATGAATATAAAGTAATTAAAGTAACAAGTGTTTTGGGGAGTAAGAAAGAAAGAAGTGTTTTTGGAGTGTGTTTGTAAATTTTGAGAACAAATGAATGGATTTTATAGGGGTATTAGTGTAGGAGTTTGGTGAAATACTCGAACCCCAATTAAACACGTCGCCCGAACATTGAAAAATTAAAAAATATCATTATCCTCTAGTCGGATTGCCCAATTCCGACTAGAGGTTTATTTATTTATTTATTGTTTGGTTTAATGAAGTTGGCCGGATTTCTAAAAATTAAAAAAATAACATACCTAGTCGGAATTGGGAAATCCGACTAGAGACCAACCCTAAAAATCACCCTAGTCGGAATTGGGAAATCCGACTCCCGTGTTTTGGTAACCTAATCCTAACTCCCGTGTTTTGGCCTGTCAAACTCCAAAAGCCCGTGTTTTGGTAATTTTCTCAATTTTCTACACCTGATATGTAGTCCCTACTATATCAGTACAGCTTTAACCATGTGAGAATTGGCTTAAATTTTTGAAAAAATGGCACCGATATAAACTCAGCAGTTTGTGTGGACACAAATATGAGTAAATCTGATTAGGACAAAAATGTATCGATTTAAGTTTTCCGCTACCTTATATTCTTTCCCTTCTAACGCGACCAAGCGTTTCTTCTTTCTCTCCTATTCATCATCCCCGTTTCTCATCTTCAACATCTACCATGAATCCACCTCCGTAGCGACGCATCGAAGCAGACGGAGACCACCACCAGCAGACCGATCGTCTCTTCTTTCTCTCCTCTACCGGCTGCCAAGGTCCGCCGCCCTATTTGGGGCTAAGCCGCTAAGGTGAATCTCCTTCTTCGCACCGCACTGCCTTCTTCTTCGTTGTGAATCGTCATCTCATCAATTTATTCAGCCGCCCTATTTCAGATCTGGTGGTTGTTGAGTCACAGAGGGCTAGACTGGGACAAGGCAACAAGGTGATTGGTTGGGCTGATGCGAGTGGCAGAGGGCTGGCAGTTCGGAGTTGGAGTTAGGGGAGTGGGCTGGGTGTTGGACAGGGGCGGGGCTGCCGGAGGTGAGGCTGGGGAGCTCGAATGGGGGGTGGGACAGGTGGGACATGGGCTGGGGCTAAGGAGTTGGTATTGGGGGCATCCGTGGTGTTTTGGGTAACGGCCGTGCCGGCCTAGCGGCAGTGGCGGCATGATTGCAGGCTGCAGATTTGGTTGATAATTGTATAGTAACTGTGGCCGGTGACGATTGGGGATTGGAAGGAGTAGGCGGTTTGGTAGTGTAGAAGGTATGACGGTGTCGACAGGGTGTCACTCCGAAAGCGGTGTCAATGTCGGGTGTCACTATGGCGGTGTCACTTCGGGTAGAGTCACTGTGCCGGTATCACTACGGGCGGAGTCACTGTGCCGGTGTCACTGTGGGCGGAGTCACTACGCCGGTGTCACTGCAGGCGGACTCACTATGCCGGTGTCACTGTGACGGTGTCACTGTGGTGGAGTCACTGTGACGGTGTCACTGTGACGGTGTCACTGCTGGCGGAGTCACTGCAATTAGAGTCACTATGGCCGGAGTCAGTGTAACCGGGGTCAATGTGGATTAGTGATTGGCGAAGGAGGCGATGCACGAAGCGACGGCGACGGTGTTGGCGGGGTATTAAATTTCTTGGTAGTCACTATCATTGCCGGCGGGGACGGAGCACTGACCGCGGGAGCGGAGCACCGGTGGCGGATGCCCGGCGGTGGGGCAGGGGCTGACCGGCGGTGGGTGAATGGATGGTGTATGCCTGCAGCATTAGTTTTCCGGTAACTACGTATAAAAAATTTACTTTGAAACAATAAGAGGAAACTCCGTATAAAATTAAATAAATAGTATAAACGATACTCCGTAAACTTGATCACTTTTTTGGAAAACTTTAAATATAGTTATACGGATGTCTTTTGTCTTTCGATTGGTAATATTCAAATAAAAAGGCCTTTTTGACTATTTAATACACAATATGTAACCCTTTAAAATGTTACATAGTTGGCAAGTACTCTAAGTATGACATGTATACCATATATTGGGTTCCTTAAATACTGATCAGTGGGGGATAAATAATATTCTCCATTCAGAAGATATTCCAATATAATACCTTCAAAAGTTTAATTTCGGGTATATTAAAGGGATTAATACTAATGAAATAATACTTGCATAATTCCATTTCATATACGATGTTAATCATACACCCTTATGACAATTGTACGGTTATTGTGAGAAATTGTATTAGTAAAGGTATCATGAATTGTGATAGACATTGTGAACCTTGTGTACCCATTATTAACAGAATATCAAATATTAAAGGGATTAATATACATATTAATCAACGACTTTTCAGTCGTTGAATACAGTGGCGGATCTTGGATGTTAGTTTTAAAGGTTCAAATTTATTTTATAAAATTTGGGTGTTCATATACATATAGAAAATTTTACAATAGCACCCATATACATGTATTTTTACACTATTAGTTATAAAATTTGGGTGTTCACATGAACACCTTTGACCTATAATAGGTCCGCCCCTGGTTGAATACCATATACTATAATGTCGGCTAAACATAGTCATTTAGCCTACAATAATACACAATGTTATATGGGGTTTTTACTTGGATATTACTATGAACCAATTATCCAAAAAGTGACCACTTTTAAAAAGGGGCAAAAAAGTGATCAAGAAGGTCATATATGTGCAATTAGAAAACATGATGTAACTGCAAAAATTTTATGTCACTGCGTGCTCATTTTTTTGTAACTATAGCCACCACCCATGTCACTACAACCACTGCCCGTGTCACTGTAGTCACCGCTTGTGTCACTACAACCACCGCCCGTGTCACTGTAGCCACCGCCCGTGTCACTGCAGCCACCGCCCGTGTCACTGCAGCCACCGCCCGTGTCACTGCAGCCACCGCCCGTGTCACTGCAGCCACCGCCCGTGTCACTGCAGCCACCGCCCGTGTCACTGCAGCCACCGCCCGTGTCACTACAGCCACCTCCTGTGTCATTGTAGCCGCTGCCCGTGTCATTGTAGCCGCCGCCCGTGTCATTGTAGCCGCCGCCCGTGTCAGTGTAGCCGCCGCCCGTGTCACTGTAGCCGCCGCCCGTGTCACTGTAGCCGCCGCCCGTGTCACTGTAGCCGCCGCCCGCTGGCCAATCACTGTCGCCCCCTCCCCCCCCTCCCCCGGGCAAAGTCACTGCCAACCACGCCGGCCGGCCAGGCGACAACCGCACCCCAACCTAAGCCCCAGCCCCTGTCCACCACAGCCCCACCCCGCCCCATCCCTACCACACCCCCGCCCCTGTCCCAAGACTCTGCACTGCCCCCTGCCATTGAACCACCTCCGCCCCCGCCATGACCATTCCGACCGGCGACTGCACCTCAGCCCAACCACACGCCACCCCAGTCCTACACAATAGGACACTGAAACCCGTCTCCCACCCCTGCCACTGAACCACCTCTGCCCAAATCGGAGTCGCCATCCAGATCTGGCGCCGGCGGCCCCAAGGACGGCGGATCCGTAACCGAAGGCATCAAGTCATCAACGATGGCGAATCCGGTACTGGCGGCCCCAAGGACGACAGATCTAGCACCGGTGACCTTAAATAAAGCCATCGTCCATCCAGCCGACGGATCCAGCACCGGCGGCTTCGGTTAAGCGAGCACAGGCGCGGCAAAGGTGTGGAAATCGAGCAACGAAGAAGATGGGTAGCGTTCAACAAGAAATGAGAAGAAGAAGAAGAAGAAGAAGAAGCGCGCGTCGGCGTCGGAGACGACGTACGCTGGAGCAGTGGCGGTGGAGGGCGTCGGCGACGGCGGACGCTGGAGCAGTGGCGTCGGAGGGTGTCGATCTATCTTCAGGCTGAGCTGCGTTCTTCTTCGAGCTGTAAAGGAGATGAAGCCTTGGAAGAGGAGAAGGGGCACGGTCCAATTCATTCTTTTGACTCATACTTTTGGGAAAAGCAAAATCGGTCATAATTATAGAAATGAAAAGCCGAATAGTTATTTCCATGCGATTTTTTCATGTTATATTTCTTTATAGTATACATATGGTTATGTAAATTAATTACCATATGATTTAAATTAGTTTTGTTATGGTATCCAACTCATGACTACTAATAGAGTGTAAAATATAAAACAATATAATATCCACATTGTACAGATGATATTTCCCCAGTCCATAACTGATTATCCCTCATGGATAAATGTATTAGTAAATAATACAATTTATTTACCCGTCTGATCTGTAGTCATGAGTTATATCATGATAGGTTCACAAGATTTAAAAAACAGTGAAGACTCAAATTTCTCGATATTTCATTTCGAGAAAACTCATACGGTTGAAGAGAAACTTAACAGATCCCTATGCAATGGGTTACTGACTCAATTATTAAAAAACAACCAAAAACTACATAAAATTTAATGTCATGGACAATCTAATTGTTATACTAGTCCATTTTTGGATAAACTGTAAGTATATTAAAAGAGCCACAAAAGAAAACAGAGGTTACAAAAAGGAAAACAAAACTGCAGGTTATACTAGTCCATATGAATATTTTTGGTCTTGTTGGGAGGATACAAAAATGTGTCCACCGACTCAATTGAATCGGTAACAAATTATCCTGTCTTGCTAATTTGTACTGGATAGTGTATAGCATAGTTAATGCTATACACTATTGTATTTTAATATACCGTATGAATAATTATAGGCGATCAACGTAAATCAATATACTTTGAGAATTGTCCGTGTGTAATAAGAACCCAAGAATAATACTTTATTGTACCCTATATCATTACATAATATGAGGTTAGTTAAGTGTCAGTTATATCCCATACTTATATATCGTATAAGTATGGGATATGGTAAACCTAGTGTGGCTTTGTATGAATATACTTGGGTTTATACCATGACTTGAAATCATGGTATGACTTGTAAGAATTTCAAGTCCATACGGTGTATTGTACACGGAATTATAGGCAAACACGAGTTGTATATTCACAATAACAAAGGCCACACCCCTTCGAGATAGTCATCAATAATACAATGTGTAATATATTGTAGATTTTAAATCATGCAATGGATGATTTCATTGTATGATGAGAAAAATGTCAAATTCAATTTGTGAGTATTCTATAAAAGATAATAGAATATTACTCAGTCAGTAATAAAATTGCTGACTGAGTAATAGATAGAATTGTAACATTTCATGAACTGTGGGTGTATTACTATATTTACTCACAAAAAAATTTCAATACAGGAAGAAATTAGACCAAAGACCGGTTGAGTCAAACCCGGGGATAAAAGAGACCAATAAGATGATTCTCAAATGAACCTGTGAGTCGGTATTTGTCGTTAACTAGTCTATTAAATGGTAGCCAATTTTAAGCCATACACGGATTATTTAAAGGTGACAACTCCGGTACCCATTTAAAAAATGGAGTACCGTACCTACCATGCATTTGATTGGTCTAAATCATTATATGCTTTTTAATTTAGATTTAAATAATTCAACTGCATCATTCATATTGGTCCATTTGGACAAAGGTACGGTACATTTGGGGTACCATAGAATCTACCTCATTTAAAATATACAATTCCTTGACACTATCATTTATAGCAATGATAGGGTGAGTGGGATGTAATACTCAATGGTATTGCCAATGATTATAATGATCAGTGTAAATATAATTAGTATTTACATACTAATGGTATGTATTATAAAAGACCCCGCTTCATTACTTGATCATTTAATACTTATGTACCACATCGTATATTACGTTGATCTCACAAAATTAATTTGTGAGATCTATATGTTAATCCATATACAGGTAAACTATGCATACACTTGCCTTTATGAAATAGGATAACACAATTTCCATATTTAGTTTATATGGATTTAGGATGTTTTCTTTTGGAGTGAAATTTGCTGGTCTGGTCTGGTCTGATCTGTTTAAGTCTGGTCTGGTCTGGTCTGGTCTGGTAAACGTCTGGTCTCTGTGTATTTTCTAACTACGGAAGTCTGGTCTGGTCTGGTCTGTTTAAGTCTGGTCTGGTCTGTTTAAGTCTGGTCTGGTCTGGTCTGGTCTGTTTAAGTCTGGTTTGGTCTGGGACTGAAAATAGTCTAAAAGAAAACATCCTTAATTACAATAGTCGTAATTAAACAATTTTTGTATGATATAGTAATATTTATGTCTTTTTAATCATCCCAACATTCAATATTATAACCGATTGTCTAGATTTAGTAAGGATGTTTTCTTTTGGACTGTTTTCAGTCCCAGACCAGACCAGACCAGACTTAAACAGATCAGACCAGACCAGACCAGACCAGACTTAAACAGACCAGACCAGACCAGACTTAAACAGACCAGACCAGACCAGACCAGACCAGACCAGACTTCCGTAGTTATAAAATACACAGAGACCAGACGTTTACCAGACCAGACCAGTTCAGACCAGACCAGACCAGACCATACTTAAACAGACCAGACCAGACCAGACCAGACCAGACTTAAACAGACCAGACCAGACCAGCAAATTTCAGTCCAAAAGAAAACATCCTAAATCCGGTATAAATATTATAAGCCAACTTGGTTTCCATACTCTATGACACAAAATAAAGACCATGAAATAACCATTATTTGATATATCATACCTGTGATATATAAGGAAATTACAATTGATCACGGTAATAAAAATCACTACTGTATCAGGTATAATGGTATACATACCCTATGACTGCAAAAATATACGGAGTAGTTAATTCGGAATATTGATTATTCGTAATCATACATTGATTTATGTGGACACAACTTGATAATTAATAACCCGACCCTATCATATTTCAATAGTTAAGATCAGCTTGCAATGGGTGACATCAAAGGACGAGGGCACTATACAATGTACCCATTATCCTATAAATATCTTCAACTATTTAATAACCCGGTGTTACACTACAAAACAATTCGGTTGTAGTCACGGATTTAGTCACGGATCCTAGTTTAAAAAATCCGTGACTAACTCCTTTAGTCACGAATTTTGTCTGTGACTAAATCCGTGACTGTTTGGGCGTGACTAAATTTAGTCACGCCAAATAGTCTGTGACTAAATGTAATCACAGATTAGTCACGGACTAGATCCGTGACTAATCTATCACCGGAATAGCTACTCCGGCACTTTAGTCACGGCTAAGATCCGTGACTATTTTTTTTTTTTTTTTTATTGTAGTCACGGACACGTCCGTGACTAATTTTTTTTTTTAAATGCGGCCAAATTAGTCACGGAAATATCCGTGACTAAGTTTTAAAGTTTTGAAATTTTGAAAATTTTCAAAAAACCGCGGTTCCTATTTTCAAATTTGAAATTTCGTATTAGTCACGGTCATAAATCCGTGACTAAAACTTTTTTATATAAAAAATACATTTTAAATTTATAAAAGAATTCCGGACTAAAAACTTAGTCACGGACTAGATCCGTGACTAAGTTATTTGGTTTTTTAAAAAAAAGTTTTTTTGTTTTAAAAAAAATTAAAAAATATGTTTCAAATATTAGAATAAAATTAACAGATAAGAATAAAAGTAATACACAGACTACTAGAATACACATTTTATTTAACAAACAGACTGGAATAAAAGTAATAATAAACAGACTAGAATTATAGTATAAATAAACAATGTTCAATTTAAATTAAAAATGTATATCATTTACAAGCTCTTCCGGCCACCATTATGATAATATCTAGAATCATCATATAGATAATCTTCTTCGGTCTCGTTTTCTTCTCATTTGCCTCCACATTGGCCTTCTCGGTTGACACCGCGACTGCCTCCCCCGGGACTGCCTCCTCCTTGGCTGCCACCTATATGAGTTTTTTTTTCTTTTTATAAGAAAGTTATAAAATTCATTTTAATTCATTTTTTAACTTTAATTCATTTTAATAAGGACATTAAAATTCATTTTTATAATGAAATCCTAGACTTTAAAAAATTCAGTTTTTGTATTAAAATTAGTTTTTATAAGGAAGTTATACAAATCATTTCAAAACTTACTAAACTTAAAAACAGATTTGGAGGCTTAAAAATTGTTTTAAACTTAAAAACTGTTTTAAGCTTTATCCTTTTTTTTTGTATGAAAAACAGTTTATATAAACTGTTATACTTTTTTTTTATATAAAAATGAGTTTTTATACTTTATATAAATCAAATTTTATAATTTCTTTAAAAACAGTTTTTTTGTATTTATTCGTATGCCATTTTAAAAAATCAGTATAAATCATATTTTAAACATTTTAATTGTTATAATTTCGAAAAAATAGCATAACATTTCAAAAAATAGTTTAATATTTCAAAAACAGTTTTTCATACTCTAATTTAACTTTATTTTTATATCAACTTAATATAAAACAGTTTTCATTAAACAGTTTATATAGTTTTTAATAATATTTTGTTTAAACTGTTTAAAATGAACATGTTAAACTTTTTTGGAAGATTAACATGAGGGGATATTTTTTTAAATAATTCGGGAATAACAATTTGGCTAGATGATAAAATAATAATAATCCCTATAATGTCCAAAGAATTGTATTGAGCAAGCTTCATTATAAGTCAAAAAAGGTTTGAATAATCATGCATATGGTTTAAACAAAAACAAAATCATATTTAGGAATGCATATTAAACATATACACAAAAAATATAGTCATTAATATTAAACATATAATAAACTATATCATATTAAACATGTATACAAACTAAAGAAATTTATAAACTAAATCATATTTCGAAATTTAATATTAAACATGTATTACTACACAAAACATGTATACAAAACTAAAGAATCATGCATAAAACAAATTGAGCATATAAACTAAACCATATTCAACATGTATTAATACCCAAAACCGAAAATTAATATACAAAGCTAAAGAATCATGCATAGAACAAATTGAAAATTTCGGAAATTATATAAAACTAAAAATCATGTATATAATCATGCATTTGAGTGTATTTCAACAAAAATAATGCGAACATACTTATAATAACATGCATTCATGGAATAAAAATCAAATACTAAAAATAAGAATGAAATAATTAAAATTTAGAACACATAACCTTGATTAAAAAGGTAAGAGGGATGGCGAAGATCGATGGAGCTAGGTACCGGAGAGCGGCGGCAGACGGTGGCGACAGACAGTGGAGAGCGGCGGCGGACGGTGGCGACAGATGGTGGAGGTCGAAGGGGTTGGCGGACAGAGAGAAGAAGTAAAGGGAGAGGGAGAGTTTTAGGATTTTGGAGAGTGTCGAATGAAAAATTCGCCAAGTGTTATTTATATATATGGGCGTAGTCACGGAGTTAGTCACGGATATATCCGTGACTACACTGTCGTAGTTAATGTAGTCAGACACGCGGAAGACGAAGTGTCAGCGCCGTCATTGACCGGCGTAGTCACGGTCAAATCTGTGACTACGGCCGTGACTATACTATGAAACGACGAGGGCATTATACAATGTACCCATTATACTATAAATATCTTCAACTATTTAATAACCCGTTGTTAATTAAATTTCATCTAAATACTTTTTGGACTTGTATAACATAAGGATGGTAAGCCTAGATACTTTTAAATATATCATTACATGATCTATTTACCACTGTCTCATGCATGGTGTCTAAAACAATGAATGGAATACAATTCTCATTCACGACTCAAGTCTATTGTATACTATCTCAATTGAACACAGTAAGTCACAATTATGAGCCAGTATAGGAATAAAATTTCTATAGGGAATTGTAGCCATGTAATATTAAGAATAGTATGAGAGCCATATTACGTATTGAAGTGGGTACGTATAATATTATGTACATGTGATAATATATTGTCACTACACCTCATTTCCCACATTGAGTTAATTCTACATGTACATTTTAACTAGTAAATGTATAATTGGTTTAAATTATACTATGTTAAAACATAGTATTGAATGTTTTAACAACTGGTAAGTTTTATGGGCCCAAAGGCTATAAATTGATGGGACACATATTAAGGGAAAATCATAACAAATTGTATACTTTAGTGTAAATTCTTTGAATTGGGTATACTCCATCATATTGTGATTTCAAATTAATGATATGGGATTACAAAATGATTAGTGATATATCTTGAGACTATAATTGGGGAGTATACTAAAATTTGAAGTCGGCAGTTCAAACTTGTTTATATGACCCTAATTTAAATTAGTATACACTAATTACGTTTAAATTACACATCGTACTATCCCAATGTAATTTATTCGTCAATTAGTATATCCATAAGACGAATGGATATTAAGGGTTATAAAACATCTTGACACATGTTTTGGGTTTATTTCACCAAATTTAAGTGAGATACTAAATTGGACTGGTATGATCTGTAACCAATTATGAATACCATGTAATGGGTTCCCTGACTAGTAGACAACATATAAGGTATCCCAAATAGTTCAGTCGATTATATTGTTTTCACTAAGGATGTGTATACTATAGGTGAAGACACAAATTTCAGAACTATGTCAATGGATATCATATATATACCTTCGGCCATAATGAAACTTATTACATGTTAACACATGTATTTTCTGCAATTAATGAGTTTGTTACTCATTAATATGTTAACTATGTAAATACGTAGTCTAATGGTGCTATTTGTGAAAATACAGGTATTCCATAGAATTTTAGCCAACAGTGTATGATACCCATAGTGAGTTTAGACACCACTATGATGGCATATAACCACATCCACAGTATTGTCACAACGTGAATTAAAGGCTCGTCCATTTGTAATACATTCACTATTGTAAACCTGGTTATGTCGTATTTTACAATTGCCCATCAGACGGTAAACCATATTTTCTTCGTGTCTGTAATAAACACACGGTATACGACTGAAAACCCATGAATTGTATGTTGGATTATTTCCAATTAATATGGCCTAAGGACCAATATTAATATGTGTTCTATATTTATGTATAATATATATAATTATGTATTATATATATGTGTATTATTTGATGAAAATAATACTTAAGGGCTACCATTGTGGTAACACCCTTTAGGACAAAATTTGAGGAGTTGTGACTATTAGGATTTCTCCCTTATTAATACTCCTCCCTTGCCAAACCAAAAACATACGTATGAACATCAAGGCTAGGAGAGATCAAAAATCACAACTCTCTAAGTTATATACTCCATCTATCATTTGTCCTACAAGGGATTACACATCCATTCTCTTGAAGCAATGGCATTAACTTCTTCCAAAATCTCTCAAATGAACATTGGATACTCTCCAAGTCTCCATAAATTTACAATTATGATTAATTGTGTGATGTTATTTGATCTTGGTTATTATGATGATCAGTTTTTCCATCATTTGGTATCAGAGCTTTTTTTTCATAACATCGCCGTTAATCTGTGAACTTAATGTATGAAGTATCAGTTAACAATAAATCAATTCAAGAGTACGGAAAAGTTTTCTGCATTTATAAAGGAAAATCAAAACCGCAGTAGGAAGTTGAAATGCAAATAAAATAACTGAATTGAATGGGAAAATGATTACGTAATTGGTTTTAAGTTGGCAAAGTGTATGTAAATTTTTTATGCCATAGTACTCCAAATTAATGAATAACGGGGCATAAATGCATAATAATGGTGTTTGTTTACTGGTTTCATAGAATGGACTCAACGGAGTATACAGTATGTTATTAAGTTGTCGTTTAGCCTGCATACATGTTAACATGTTCGATCGTCATTTATCATGTTACATGTGTAATATCATGACTTTATGCATGCTGATAAACTCACAAGTGAAGAGTCATGCCTTTTGGAATTAATATTTATGTATCACGTATTTTTAATCCAAATATTCATTAATTCACCGTAAGTGTGATGTGCAAAACTTTTGAAAGCACTTTAATCATATAAAGTGTAATGATTACATATGCATATTATATTTTTATTTATTTATAAAACACTATGTTGTGACTGGTTAATTTTTCCGGCCATATATATGGAGTGTACTGCAATGAATTTTGTATGTATATGAAATTGGTTTATATATTAAAGTTGTTAATAAGGATCGTATTAATATGGAATATATTATTGTTATTAGTTGTTAACGATTTACATATTGGTTACTCAAATATGATCGTATTTTGAATTGATTCGAATCCAATAAACAATTAACTTAAATTGTCGGCCCAACGGAAGACATTTAAGTTGACTTGGATAATTTCTGCACCCTATTAATGCCTCGAATCAATTATATATATATATATATATATATATATATATATATATATATATATATATATATATATAATAAAATTATATTCTTTAATTTGGGATTTTATGCAAATTATATGGAACATTATACAATGAACCCAACGGCTAGTTGTTTAATGGTACATATGATTGTAGTATCGACTTTATGAAATAAGGATAATAATGTCATTAAGTTTAATTATTGGAATTAGCCAAAGCGAAACCAATGATTAAACAAGACATTTTAGTATCTATTATTTCGGTGTTGATAATAGATAATTTTACTGACATATTATTTCGGTGTTGTCAATTATATTTTTTTCTCGTTCAATCGTTTTTGCATACACTTAAACTTTATAATTTCCAACAGCCACTTTAACATCAAATTGTGGGATTGAACCCTTAACTGGCACTAATTTTGAGTCATGGAGAGACAATGTCAGACTAACCCTTGGAGTCATGGATCTTGATTATGCCCTAAGACATGATCCTCCCGCTGCACTCACCGCTGAAAGTACTCAAGAGCATAAACGAGTGCATGAACAATGGGAGAGATCAAATCGCATGTCTCTTATGATCATAAAGAATTCCATCTCGGTTGCCATTCGTGGAGCCATACCGGTTTCGGACAATGCGAAAACTTATTTGGACTCCGTAGAGAGGAGCAATTCAAGGGCACCTCCAAGGCTTTTGCGAGTACATTAATCTTGCAAATGTTGACAAAGAAATATGATGGTGTGAGTGGTGTGCGTGAGCACATTATGATGATGAGTGACATGGCTAACAAACTTAAGAGCATGGATATGGAGATTAGTGAGGGCTTCTTAGTCCACTTCATTATGACCTCCTTGCCCGCACAATTTGGTCCTTTTAAAATTAACTATAACACTCAAAAGGAAAAATGGAAAATGAGTGAGTTAATTGCAATGTGCGTACAAGAGGAGGAGCGCCTCAACGTGGAAAGGCCCGATGTCTGTCATCTCACAACCACAAATACTAGCAAGAGAAAGGGCAAGTTCAAGGCTGGTGAAAGCTCAAAGGTTCACAAAATTGGTACAAGTGCAGTCGCAGGCTCAACCAATGCCAAGGGTCCTCCTCGTTGTAAATTTTGCCATAAGAAAGGGAATTTTCAACGAGAGTGCTCTAAGTTCAAAGAATGGTTAGCCAAGAAAGGTACACATCTATTTATGATTTATGAGTCCTTTAATATAAGTGTTCCAATAAACACATGGTGGATTGATTCTGGTTCTATGGTTCATGTGACAAACTCCTTACAGGGATTCCATACAATCCGGAGGTTGGAAAAAAACCAAAGGTGTCACGCCCCGGACCTCCCCGGACACGTCAACAACCCGCCGTACAATACGAATAGTCAACCGCAGTCCAACACATTCATATTATACAAGGCGTCTTGAATATCATTCACACATATAACATCCATAAACAAACATAATAAGTAATTCATAACGCAGCGGAAAACATTGTTTAAAACAAAAGGGCCACACAGGGCTATTCATGAGCACGCAGGCTCTAAAGTAAAATATCCATGAGCATGTTTAATATTGTTCAAAACAGAATGGAGAAAGCACGAACCACGTCTTCTCTCCAAAGGATCACCCGAGCAACGGGCACATGTAGCAAGCTCGAGCCTCAACCTGAAAAATGGTAGTGGGACGCCCCCGAAGGGGTCAGCACTCTATAGGGCTATAAAGTGCTGGTGTGGATGGCATCTAATAGATATACAACAAGTATTTCAAACACAAGACCCTCAAATAGGGTGATAATACAATATAGTGGTAACCCTAAGTTACCCCGTTTAATAATATACTTACTTTATATAAAAGTCAAGTAATCGGCCCGTTGGCCCATGTTCATTTAGAAATCACCATTCCCATTCCCCGTGACTATGAGCCACGACAATTCATAGAGTTCATTACATTACCATTGCATCCTACCACATTTGCATAGCAAGGTCTCCGACCAACTACATTTCTATGCAAATCACAATTTACATCCTATCACATTTGCATAGCAAGGTCTCGGACCAACTACATTTCTATGCAAATCACAATTTACATGGCAAGGTCTCGGACCAACTACATTTCCATGCAAATCACAATTACATCCTATCACATTTGCATAGCAAGGTCTCGGACCAACTACATTTCTATGCAAATCACAATTTACATGGCAAGGTCTCGGACCAACTACATTTCCATGCAAATCACAATTTCATCCTATAACATTTGCATAGCAAGGTCTCGGACCAACTACATTTCTATGCAAATCACAATTACATGGCAAGTGCACGGCCCAACTACGTTTCCATGTAATCTTAGAGTCCGGCTCTAATTCTTCATTATAGTCCAATTCCTAAGCAACCCTATGCCTAGAATTGACATCTCAATAATCTACCTTGGGTCATTCTCAATGACCGCCCATAACTTGCCCTTAGTTTCATACTAAGTCGTTTTATACACTTGAAGTACATTCAAGTTCATTCCATACGATCCAATACTTAGGATCAATTCTATCAACAATTTCAAATAATCACTAACTAGTATTTTCAATACTATTAAGATTATTGTCATTATACAAATATCTTCATTTGTAATTCTCTACATATTTATAAGTATGTAGCATCAACTTAAATATTCAAATTCAATACATAATATCCATTTATGTATCCACATATTTAATACATGAGTAAAATTCCTATTTCGCAAAATAGTTCATTTATAACTCATTTAATCTCCTATTATACATACATCCTCAAATCATTTCCAATTTCATTCTTTGGGAACTATATCAATATTTAATCAATATTTAATCATCATAATCCATGAAAAATTATGATTTAGGCATTTAGGTAATCTCATGCTTAACCTACAAGTTGTAAGCAATTAGATGTCGATCCTCACCTCAAATGAGCTTTAAAAACCTTCCTTCTCGATCCAATGGCTAAAGCCTCAGCTAAGGAAGCTTGAGAACTGATTCCTTGCTCAGAAATGGGTGCTAAACAGCCTCCTCAAGTTGCTATTTCAACCCCTAATCGTTGATACGAAAACAGCCCCTAGAACGGGTGTTTTCCGGCTAGCTCGATTCCTAGTTTTCCAATATTTGCATCTAGGTTAGTATCTAACCTTTACATCAATAAAATAACTTAATAGGGATGTTTTATACACTTGGAGTAGTGTATAATAGTCCCACCAATCGTTCATATCATTTGGAAAATGAATGGAAAGGTTTTGGGATTAACAACTCACTTAGAAGAGTAAATCCGTTCCTGCGAGGTCGCGTTCTGCTCGGACGATTTGGAAGCCTTCCTCTACTCCGATTGATTCAAACCAGACCTTCACGGATTCCTCGTCTTGAGAGCTTTCTTTTGGTATCTCACACACCTTAATTGGATTGGTAAAACTCGAGATATCAACCAAACAGTCTCAGCACTCTCACAGCTCGAGTTCACAGACCACTGCTCGTTCCAGATCGATTTGTGGATGATTACTCTCTCCTCTCGAACTGAGACCACTCAATTATAACAATAGACTTCAAAATCTATCCAAGGACACCTTATACACCTCATTTGGCCGAGTATAACTCTCAAAATGAAGGGAGACAAAACAGCACACCTGTTTGTGCGAAAACAGTGGTGGTGGCCCCAAAATTTGATCCCAATTGTGTCATGGGCAATGCTTCTCCATGTGGTGCGGCCAATGTGAGTCTTCTCACATATTTTCCTTGTCTTGAAGGTACTCAAGCCACATGGGATGCCCCCCAATTGATCCCAATCAATTTGAGGTCCAAAATATCTACCAATACTTCCAAAAATGGGAAGATGGGTCCTATTGTTTTATCTTTGTCAAAGATGTCCTTTTGTACTCATCCTAATTTATTTAAAACAAGTCAACTTCCTACATAACATTATTGATCTCCAATATGTGTAGGCTCATCTCAATAACTTACTTGATGGATAATATAGAAGGAAAATCCTACTCCCATTATTTGGGTCAATAATGCCAAAGATGGGGTTATAGGCATTTGTACTCTTCTTTAATCATCCTATCGCTTATTTTGACATTTGTCATTCATATTATTGGGCTACAAGCCGTGTGGGTCGCCCCCGAGTGGGCCTACGACGCCGTTCTCGAATACTTGCTATTTTTAGCAGGTTGGGCCCAAATTAATGTTTGGGCCGCCCGACCTTCCTCAAATTGTCTTGAAAGATTATGTAACATTATTTAGATAATGTTGGGCTCTTATGTTCATTAATAAGGCCCAAATAAGTATTTGCAAACCCGACACTAATATACGAGTTTGAACAATACGAAAATCAATCATGCGCTACGTAAAACATTAATCGTTTTACAATTGTTTGGAAACCGAAAATTCAATACATAGAAATAAATTTTTTTTTATTGAGTTTTTCAAGGACGTTCGGGTGCGGTGTCACAAGTTCACCCCCCCTTAACAGGAATTTCGTCCCCGAAATTCGCAACTATACTCAAATAGGGAAGCATACTACTCCCTCATCAAAGCCTCTATTTCCCATGTCTCTTCTTCGACGCGATCGCTCTTCCAAAGGACTTTAACCATTGGGACTTCTTTACTCCGCAGTTTCTTCACCTTTCTATCAATGACCTTAATCGGTTGCACAGCGTAGTTCACATCCTCACGTACCTCTACAGGCGGATATACATCCAATTGGGCTCTCAATGCCCTCAAACTAGTCAACAATGCCTCAGACGAACTCTTCTGACTGAGGGCATCTGCTACAACGTTTGCCTTACCTGGATGGTACTCACTAACTAGATGGTAGTCCTTTATCAACTCCATCCACCATCGTCGTCTCATGTTTAACCCCTTTGAGTACACACGTATTTCAAGCTCTTATGATCAGCGTATATGTGACACGGCTCTCCATAGGGATAGTGTCTCCAAATCTTCAATGCAAACACCACTGCTCCTAGCTATAAATCATGAGTAGGATAGTTTACCTCATGCTTCTTCAACTGTCGTGAAGCATAGGCGACTACTCTCCTCATCTGCATCAACACATATCCAAACCCTTGGATGCTTGCGTCACTATAGACATCGTACCCTACACCCCGTTTGGGTAATGCAAGTACCGGTGCCTCGGTTAACCTCTTCTTCATTTCTAAGAACCCCTTCTCACATTTGTCATCCCACACGAACTTATCTCCTTTACGAGTGAGCTTCGTCAATGGTGATGCCAAAACGGAGAACTTCTCCACGAACTTTCTGTAGTAGCCTGCCAACCCAAGGAAACTACGAATTTCCTTGACATTCTTTGGCCCCTCCCATTCGGTAATGGCTTCTATCTTCTTGCTATCAACAGCAATTCCCGATCCCGAAACTACATGCCCGAGAAAGCCAATTTCCTTTAGCCAAAATTCACATTTAGAAAATTTGGCATAGAGTTGCTTCTCCCGTAGTGTCTCAAGGACAAGTATCAAGTGCTCCTCATATTCTTCTTCACTCTTTGAGTAAATCAAGATGTCATCTATGAACACAATCACGAATCGGTCTAAGTATTTATGAAATACTCGGTTCATCCATGAATGTCGCTGGGGCGTTTGTTAACCCAAACGACATAACAAGGAATTCAAAATGTCCATACCTTGTGCGAAAAGCACTTTTTGGTATGTCATCTTCCTTAATCTTCAATTGATGGTAACCCGACCTCAAGTCGATCTTTGAAAACACCGTTGCCCCTCATAGTTGGTCAAACAAGTCATCGATCCTAGGCAAAAGATACCTATTCTTGATTGTGACCTTGTTCAGTTGACGATAGTCAATACACACTCGAAATGTCCCATCTTTCTTTTTCACAAAAAGAACAGGAGCTCCCCACGGGGAGTGGCTGGGTCTAATGAAACCATTATCCAAAAGCTCTTGCAATTGGGTTTTCAACTCGGTAAGTTCAGCGGGTGCCATACGGTATGGCGGTATGGAGATTGGTTTGGTACCCGGCTCGACCTCGATCACAAATTCGATCTCCCTATCAGGTGTAAGCCCTGGCAGGTCTTTTGGGAAGACATCCGGGTACTTACAAACCACCATCACATCATCGATGTTCGTTTCCTCTTTGGTTTTGTCAACCACGTATGCTAGATATGCGCGACATCCCTTTCTCATCCTACTTCTCGCTCTTACGGCGGATATGATACAGCTGTTTGATCTCCCTCGATCACCCTCGAAGCGTAGGGTCTCCCCATCATTGCCTTCGAGTTCAATAACCTTCGTGTAGCATTCTACCCTAGCATGGTTCTTTTCTAGCCAATCCATCCCTAGGATTGCATCGAATTCAATCATGCTCAGCGGTACGAAGTCACACGTCAAGGTTTGACCATTAACTTCCACCCCACAAGATGGATAGTAACAAGTTCTTTCCACGTCATCCCCTAGTGGTGTTGATACCACTAAGATTTGCATCAACAGTGCGGATTGCACTTCCAATTCCTTAGCGAATGCTTCACTCACAAATGAACGTTGCGCCCCGGTATCGATAAGGATTCGCGCATCCTTCCCATTAATCTTTAGTGTCCCTACATTCATGAACCATGTAAGACATCTTTCCTACCCTCCCTACTCATTTATAGAAGGTTACAATGTTCACACACACGTTAGGGATCAAGAAAAGGTCTTAACGTCGCAAAACAGTGCGAAAAATCGGTTTTCGGCATTCTGGGTGCCAGGCACGGCGTGCCTGGGGGTAGGCACGATCGTGCCTGGCTTGGAAAAAGCCTAGGGAGCTACTGCCATGTAGGCACGATCGTGCGTGCCCTTAGGCACGATCGTGCCTGGGCAAAAACAGCCCGAAATTGCCCGAAATCCTCCCGGTTCGACCCCAAAGCTTCGTGCAATGATCCCAACGACTAGTAACCTCAATTTATGGACTAACCATAGATAAAACACAAGTATACAAGAGGTTATACCTGCAACGGAATCCGGGTTCGCTCGAGCCTCCGCCTCCGTCATCGTATAGACTCTAGCGTGAGTCCTCCCTTGATTCACGGACGGCGCGTTGCTCACACTTGCTCCGCCATGTTCCTTGCTTGCTTGAGAGTCCCCGGCTTGACTCCGTATGCCTATAGTCATACTACTTGAGCCCAAAGTTTGGTCGGGTACAAGTTGTGGGCAATTCGCATTCGTGTGCCCGATCTCTCTGCATCGGTAGCACCTAGGAGGGTCCCAACACTTACCCGGGTGGTGCTTCTTACAATTTGTGCACTTAGGTACCCTCGAACCTTTTGACCTCGAGTTCTGGCCACCGAGCCTCGACTCCTCCCAAGCGATAATGTGTGTGCCCTTAAGGTTTTGTCACCCTCAACATTTGTCCTCCTAGAATGTCCTTTGGGGTCGTGGTCTCCCCATTTTCTTTTCCTTCCTAATGGTGTGTCCTTAGCTTGTCTAGCTTGGCGTTTTTGTATAAGCCTTGCACGTTCACGTTGAAGCCAATCTATGACCATGCCCATTTGTTCAATGGGTGCATTATCAAGGTCCTCATCACTCAATTCGTCTCCTCCGTCATCCGGAGCCTTGGGTGGTTCAGTTTTACCCGTACAAGCTGACTCTTCTTTGGTCTTAACATGATCCTCACTCACGATTTGAGCTTCTAGAATTTCGTGAATCATTGGTACTAAGGACTCTTCTCGGTTGGCATGCCCGGTTCCACCCGGTGCAAACCCTTTCGAGTTCTTCTCTCTATTTATAATGTCATCATCACCTCCCATCGCTGAAAGAAATATTTAGAATGAGTCATTAGACTCGTTTCAAATGTCAACTGACAGATAGGCACTTAAGAGATCTCTTGGGCCAAGTCACCGCCATACCAATTGTTAAGGGCGCCATCTTAACAATTAGAGACCTTGCAACTCAAACACCAAAAGTTCTTAAGTACAAAACATTTTTGCTCATGGTTTTCAAAAATCATTTTGAAAAGAGAATTTTGAGACTTCATTATGAAGTTTATGGACTAAGGCTCTGATACCAACTTAATTGTCACGCCCCGGACCTCCCCGGACACGTCAACAACCCGCCGTACAATACGAATAGTCAACCGCAGTCCAACACATTCATATTATACAAGGCGTCTTGAATATCATTCACACATATAACATCCATAAACAAACATAATAAGTAATTCATAACGCAGCGGAAAACATTGTTTAAAACAAAAGGGCCACACAGGGCTATTCATGAGCACGCAGGCTCTAAAGTAAAATATCCATGAGCATGTTTAATATTGTTCAAAACAGAATGGAGAAAGCACGAACCACGTCTTCTCTCCAAAGGATCACCCGAGCAACGGGCACATGTAGCAAGCTCGAGCCTCAACCTGAAAAATGGTAGTGGGACGCCCCCGAAGGGGTCAGCACTCTATAGGGCTATAAAGTGCTGGTGTGGATGGCATCTAATAGATATACAACAAGTATTTCAAACACAAGACCCTCAAATAGGGTGATAATACAATATAGTGGTAACCCTAAGTTACCCCGTTTAATAATATACTTACTTTATATAAAAGTCAAGTAATCGGCCCGTTGGCCCATGTTCATTTAGAAATCACCATTCCCATTCCCCGTGACTATGAGCCACGACAATTCATAGAGTTCATTACATTACCATTGCATCCTACCACATTTGCATAGCAAGGTCTCCGACCAACTACATTTCTATGCAAATCACAATTTACATCCTATCACATTTGCATAGCAAGGTCTCGGACCAACTACATTTCTATGCAAATCACAATTTACATGGCAAGGTCTCGGACCAACTACATTTCCATGCAAATCACAATTACATCCTATCACATTTGCATAGCAAGGTCTCGGACCAACTACATTTCTATGCAAATCACAATTTACATGGCAAGGTCTCGGACCAACTACATTTCCATGCAAATCACAATTTCATCCTATAACATTTGCATAGCAAGGTCTCGGACCAACTACATTTCTATGCAAATCACAATTACATGGCAAGTGCACGGCCCAACTACGTTTCCATGTAATCTTAGAGTCCGGCTCTAATTCTTCATTATAGTCCAATTCCTAAGCAACCCTATGCCTAGAATTGACATCTCAATAATCTACCTTGGGTCATTCTCAATGACCGCCCATAACTTGCCCTTAGTTTCATACTAAGTCGTTTTATACACTTGAAGTACATTCAAGTTCATTCCATACGATCCAATACTTAGGATCAATTCTATCAACAATTTCAAATAATCACTAACTAGTATTTTCAATACTATTAAGATTATTGTCATTATACAAATATCTTCATTTGTAATTCTCTACATATTTATAAGTATGTAGCATCAACTTAAATATTCAAATTCAATACATAATATCCATTTATGTATCCACATATTTAATACATGAGTAAAATTCCTATTTCGCAAAATAGTTCATTTATAACTCATTTAATCTCCTATTATACATACATCCTCAAATCATTTCCAATTTCATTCTTTGGGAACTATATCAATATTTAATCAATATTTAATCATCATAATCCATGAAAAATTATGATTTAGGCATTTAGGTAATCTCATGCTTAACCTACAAGTTGTAAGCAATTAGATGTCGATCCTCACCTCAAATGAGCTTTAAAAACCTTCCTTCTCGATCCAATGGCTAAAGCCTCAGCTAAGGAAGCTTGAGAACTGATTCCTTGCTCAGAAATGGGTGCTAAACAGCCTCCTCAAGTTGCTATTTCAACCCCTAATCGTTGATACGAAAACAGCCCCTAGAACGGGTGTTTTCCGGCTAGCTCGATTCCTAGTTTTCCAATATTTGCATCTAGGTTAGTATCTAACCTTTACATCAATAAAATAACTTAATAGGGATGTTTTATACACTTGGAGTAGTGTATAATAGTCCCACCAATCGTTCATATCATTTGGAAAATGAATGGAAAGGTTTTGGGATTAACAACTCACTTAGAAGAGTAAATCCGTTCCTGCGAGGTCGCGTTCTGCTCGGACGATTTGGAAGCCTTCCTCTACTCCGATTGATTCAAACCAGACCTTCACGGATTCCTCGTCTTGAGAGCTTTCTTTTGGTATCTCACACACCTTAATTGGATTGGTAAAACTCGAGATATCAACCAAACAGTCTCAGCACTCTCACAGCTCGAGTTCACAGACCACTGCTCGTTCCAGATCGATTTGTGGATGATTACTCTCTCCTCTCGAACTGAGACCACTCAATTATAACAATAGACTTCAAAATCTATCCAAGGACACCTTATACACCTCATTTGGCCGAGTATAACTCTCAAAATGAAGGGAGACAAAACAGCACACCTGTTTGTGCGAAAACAGTGGTGGTGGCCCCAAAATTTGATCCCAATTGTGTCATGGGCAATGCTTCTCCATGTGGTGCGGCCAATGTGAGTCTTCTCACATATTTTCCTTGTCTTGAAGGTACTCAAGCCACATGGGATGCCCCCCAATTGATCCCAATCAATTTGAGGTCCAAAATATCTACCAATACTTCCAAAAATGGGAAGATGGGTCCTATTGTTTTATCTTTGTCAAAGATGTCCTTTTGTACTCATCCTAATTTATTTAAAACAAGTCAACTTCCTACATAACATTATTGATCTCCAATATGTGTAGGCTCATCTCAATAACTTACTTGATGGATAATATAGAAGGAAAATCCTACTCCCATTATTTGGGTCAATAATGCCAAAGATGGGGTTATAGGCATTTGTACTCTTCTTTAATCATCCTATCGCTTATTTTGACATTTGTCATTCATATTATTGGGCTACAAGCCGTGTGGGTCGCCCCCGAGTGGGCCTACGACGCCGTTCTCGAATACTTGCTATTTTTAGCAGGTTGGGCCCAAATTAATGTTTGGGCCGCCCGACCTTCCTCAAATTGTCTTGAAAGATTATGTAACATTATTTAGATAATGTTGGGCTCTTATGTTCATTAATAAGGCCCAAATAAGTATTTGCAAACCCGACACTAATATACGAGTTTGAACAATACGAAAATCAATCATGCGCTACGTAAAACATTAATCGTTTTACAATTGTTTGGAAACCGAAAATTCAATACATAGAAATAAATTTTTTTTTATTGAGTTTTTCAAGGACGTTCGGGTGCGGTGTCACAAAAGGACCATTAAAATCGGGAATGGTGAAGACCTCAATGTTGAAGCTGTTGGTACCTTAGCTTTAGTTTTGGAAGGTGGCTTCTGCATGTATTTATATGACACATTATATGTACCGAGCATTACTCGGAATTTAGTATCTGTACCTAAGTTAAACAATAATGGCTATGTATTAACTTTTAATAATGGTAAAGTTACTATATGCAAAGATTCCGATGTTGTTGGTTATGGTTGCTTAGAAGACAACCTTTATAAATTATGCTTGGATGATACATTTTCGAAATCCTTGTTGTCATATAATATCAATGAAAATCCAATCAAAAGAAAACGAGACTTGGAAGCTTCATCCATGTTGTGGCATCAACGTTTAGGCCACATTTCACGGAATCGAATGCTAAGGCTCGTGAAGGATGGAATATTACCATCTCTCGATTTTAGTGATTTTGAAACATGTGTAAAATTAAATGCCTTAAAGGGAAAATGGCAAAGGGAAATAAAAGAGGAGCCACAAGGAGTTCCGGTTTACTGGAATTAATTCATACTGACATTTGTGGTCCTTTTCCCGCTGGGATAACTGGACATAAGTCATTTATCACTTTCATAGATGATTATTCGCGATATATGTATTTGTACTTAATCAATGAAAAATCAGATGCACTTGACATGTTCAAAACCTTTAAGGCCGAGGTTGAGAATCAACTCGACCGTAAGATAAAGGTAGTAAGATCAGATAGAGGAGGTGAGTATTATGGTAGACATACTGGTATAGGTCAAGCTCCCGGACCCTTCTATGAATTTTGTTAGAAACATGGGATCGTGAATCAATTTACCATGCCGGGTACTCCTCAGCAAAACGGTGTCGCTGAGAGAAGAAATAGGACCCTTATGGACATGGTACGAAGTATGTTAGCCAATACAAGCCTACCTAAGTTTCTATGGACCGAGGCCTTAAAAACGGCAGTTCATATACTCAATAGGGTTCCTTCTAAATCTGTTCCTAAAACCCCTTATGAAATCTGGACGGGAAGGAAACCGAGCCTTAGGTATATGAAAGTATGGGGCTGCCCGGCTGAAGCCAAGCTTTATAATCCCCAACAAAGGAAGCTCGACATGAAAACCGTCAGTTGCTCCTTTATAGGATACCCTGAACGCTCTAAGGGTTATCGATTTTATTGCCCGTCTCACACTACTCGCATTGTTGAGACTCGACATGCTAAGTTCCTAGAGAACTCAAACATTAGTGGGAGCAAGTGTATTGATGATGTTGAATTACAAGAAGAAGTGCAAGAGGAGGGGGGAATGTTCTCTATACCTTTTCAACCTCTTGTACCTCTTGTAGACAATACTACCCTGCCAAGTTCATCTGTCGAAGGTAATGCTGCTCCCTATGTGCCACAAAATGAAGAAACATCAGCTTTTGAGGAAAATAATGAAATATCTCAAGCTGGGCAAATCCCCGAAGTTATCACTGAGCTTCAAGAGCCCGAACCACCATTGAGAAGATCACAAAGATCTAGATGGCCTACTAATTTTGATGATTATGTTATTTATCTTAATGAGGCCGATCTAGGAAAATGTGATGATCCGACCTCTTATATTGAGGCCATTTGTAGTGACCAATCTACTCAATGGAATGAAGCAATGATTGACGAGCTTGATTCCATGAGTAAAAATGATGTATGGGAACTTGTTGAATTGCCTAACGATGTAAAACCAGTAGGATGCAAGTGGGTCTTCAAAACAAAATTAGATGCAAATGGAAACGTCGAGCGCTTCAAAGCGCGATTGGTTGCCAAAGGCTACACCCAAAAGGAGGGAATTGATTACAAGGAGACTTTCTTTCCTGTTTCAAGAAAAGATTCCCTAAGGATTGTTATGGCCTTAGTAGCTCATTTTGACTTAGAGCTACATCAAATGGATGTTAAGACTGCTTTTCTTAATGGTGATTTACATGAAGATGTATATATGACTCAACCAGAAGGTTTTACGACTAAGGGTCAAGAACATCTGGTGTGCAAACTTAAGAAATCAATATATGGGATAAAACAAGCATCACGCCAGTGGTATCTAAAATTTGATGAAGTCATGAAAAAGAACGACTTCTATAAAAATCAAGTGGATCAGTGTATCTACCTCAAAATGAGTGGGAGCAATTTTGCGACACTTGTTCTTTACGTTGATGATATCCTCTTGGCAAGTAACAGTGTCGATTTGTTGCATGAGTCAAAACGATTACTGTAATACCCGAGATTAATTTAAGAGGATTAATAGTACTACTCATACCAACAAGATGCATCTCCTTTTAAGGGAGCTAATCCCCTAGAACTCCAAAGTTAAGCGTGCTTGCACGGGAGTAGTCTTGGGATGGGTGACCCCCTGGGAAGTTTCTCAGGGCGCGCACGAGTGAGGACAAAGTGCGCGGAAAAGGCTAGTGACGGTTTGTGAGGACAGTACTAGTGGTCTGGAGGGTGTGTTCAAGTAACTACCTCGGACCCTACGGGGCCAGGGCGTTACAAACTTACAAGTGGTATCAGAGAGACCCCGCGACAGTGTGATGACCCGTTGGATATCGGGCGGGCACTTAGCGGGGCAAGATTCTGGGATTTGATTGAGATTTGAGATTGGTTCAAGGGCGCAACGAGGACGTTGCGATCCTAAGTGGGGGTGATTGTAACACTTGAGATTTAATATAAACGGATTAATAGTACTACTCATACCAATAGAGGTGCATCTCCTTTTACGGGAGCTCATCCGCTAAGAACTCCAAAGTTAAGCGCGCTTGCACGGGAGTAGTCTTAGGATGGGTGACCCCCTGGGAAGTTTCTCAGGGCGCGCATGAGTGAGGACAAAGTGCGCGGTAAAGGCTTGTGGTGGTTTGTGAGGACAGTACTATTGGTCCGAAGTAACTACCTCGGGTCCTGCGGGGCCGGGGTGTTACAATTACTTTCACGACACTTTGACATGAAAGATCTCGGAGAGGCCTCTTATGTTATAGGCATCGAAATTCACCGACATCGGGCCAATAGGACATTAGGACTGTCTCAAAAGGCATATGTGGAACGTATACTCGCACGCTTTAATATGCAACATTGTTCTCCCTCAGTTGCTCCCGTTGTTAAAGGAGATGTTTTTGGCTCATTTCAATGTCCAAAAACGGAATTAGAAAAGGATCAAATGAGGTTGATTCCTTACGCATCCATAGTTGGAAGTTTGATGTATGCTCAAGTTTGTACTCGTCCCGATATCGCTTACATATCCGGTATGTTAGGCCGATATCAGCATAATCCTGGCCTTGATCATTGGAAGGCTGCTAAGAGGGTCTTACAATATCTTCAGGGGACTAAGGATTACAAACTGACTTATAAAGGAACAAACGATTTAGAAGTAACGGGATATTCCGACTCTGATTTCGCTAAATGCAAAGACGATAGAAAATCGACGTCGGGATACATTTTTATGATGGCAGGCGGGCCCATTTCATGGAGGAGTCAGAAACAACAATTAACCACTACCTCTACTATGATGGCTGAATATGTTGCTGTTTATAACGCAACATGTCACGGAATGTTGTTGAGGAATTTGATTAAGGGACTCAAAATAGTTAACTCCATTTCAAGACCGTTGAAGATTTATTGTGATAATTCTGCCGCCGTGAGCTTTTCAAATGGAAATAGTTCGAGCGGGGCCGGATTATATCTCGATACAAAGTTCTTGTTTGTACGTGAACGAGTTGAAGAAAATAATCTTTCTATCGAGTATATTAGCACTCATGATATGCTTGCGGATCCGATGACAAAAGGTCTATCACCTAAGATTTTTCAAGAACATGTGATGAAAATGGGTTTTAGTCGAGACCTCACTTAATTGGCATAGTGCTCTTACGAACAATTCATGTATATAAATAAATACTTGAATTCTTAATTGTCTATTATATGTATACCGTGCGCACTAACTTTGGTATCATGGACAAATTAATATTGATTACCACATTACATTTGATCATTTATGTTTAATGACCTTAATGTCCTAATACATGTGCTATAGTATGATTAGTGGGGGTCTCGTATCTAAATAGATGCGAGTGGCTGTACTTCTCTATTATAGTATAGATATTGGGTATTTAGA